AGAAATGGCAATCTTGCCAACGTCGATATATGCTTCTCCGCATATACAATTCCTTCTTCTCTGGAACGGACGCATTTCGTAAACGAAAAGAGAAGAAATAACGGCACGCACCAGGGTAGCCGGTGCGACCATGCGTTTTGCGCAGTTTCGACCAGCGGACATTTGTCTTCTACGGATTTTCACCGTATTACACTTTGGTTTGTAAAAAAATAGTCGATATGTTGTTTGGCTCCTAAGTTGCGAAATTTCCCAATAAAAATTTCACGCACCAGTGCGTGGAGCTCAAACGTACTTAAAAGCTGAATGTGATACTTGGGCAGTGAACATTGTTTCAAAATTCCGACCTCCTAGTTCCCTGGCTTCCGAGCAACCTTAGCGCCAAAACTTTCACGTCGTGAGGCCTTATCACACTGGAAAATAAAGTTTGGGTTTGTTAAGTCCCTGCATAAACAGAAAATTTCTCCTGAAGTTTTCTGCCTCCTAGCTCTTCTTGCCCCCAAGACAACTATTCCCGCCAAAACTTTTACTGGGCCGTACGTGATACCCAGATGCCTGAGATGACAGTTTAAATTTGCTGAGTCGTAAAAGGCAAAAGACACTACTCTAACATTTCAGCTCCCCAGCTTTCGAGGTTCTCGGGATAATAATTTTCCCCGCCAGAATCTCCGCGGGACCGCATGTAGCATTCGGCAGTAAGTGAAGGCTAAATCTAAGTATTTTAGGTTGGGACACCAGCCCTCGAGCTGGGACACCAAAAACCTTTTAAGGGAAATCAAACCACTACCAGGAAAGAAGCAACTTTTTAACACCCATTCAAACTTTTATGAGTCTGTATTTGAAAACCATGCTTATCTAGGAGCAGAATTTGAAAAAAATTCCCCCAAAATTCAACTTCCCAACTTTTCTGGCTCCCGAATTAGTAATTTTCCCGCCAAAACTTTAACGTAACGGTGAGTTGGGATCAAACTTGTGTGAAAATTGGCAACGCTTGGCCAGGGAACCCACTGATAAAATTTTAGCGACAAAACTTGATTGATTGCTCAGTTGGAAGACGCATGCACACATAGCGACACGGCACGAACACACACACACACACACAAGCCCACTAACATAAACATGTACTACGGGTCATCATAATGTGTGTATTGCATCTGTACATCTGCAAAACCACATGAAACCAAACAAAATCTGAACTGGCCATTTGTTAAAAAATAGAAAAGGACCCAACATTCCACAAGCAGCAGCACAACTATCCCCAGTTATACCGAACATTTCTTTGCTAAACAGAAGAAATCAATTACACTGTGCTCGTATCCAAGATGCTATTGCCCGGCTGATCGTAAACAGAAGAAAAATAGTCCATCGCTTCAGCAATC